TTTTTCTGCTTATGTGGTGCTGAGGAATCGAACCCAGGGCCTCATGCATGCAAGGCAAGCACTCTACCACTGAGCCACCTTCCCAGCCCCTATTTTCTTATTTTTAATGTAGGTATAGAATCTGTAGCAACTGACTCCTTTTTACTTCATGATTTGTGCTTTTTCTCTTCCTTTTCAGTCTTACACAGATTTATCAATTTTACTTAAAAAAGGACAAGAATCAACTTTTAGCTTTTTTCATATTCTTATTTTACTCTGACTTATATTATGTAGATTTCTGCTATTTTTATTATTATTTTTTCTTTCAGTTTAATTTTCTGTCTCCTTAACTTTTTGAAACAATTACTTAAATCACTAATTTTAGACTTACTTTCTTTCCTAATTTTTATAGTGAAGGCTGCAAATTTCCCTTTAAAAATGTGGGGCTTTAATCTATAAAACAAATAAAACAAAAGTTCTCAGAATAATCATGTTTTCTGCACCCAGAATCTTATTCTCTTATACTTATTCTCTTATACTTTTCCTTTCTTTTCTTTTCTTTTTTTTTTTTTTGTCAGTCGTGGGTCCTGAACTCTGGGGCCTGGGTGCGGTCCCTCAGCTCTTTAGCTCAAGGCAGGCACTCTACCACTGGAGCCACAGCACCACTTCTGATTTTCTGGTGGCTTATTGGAGATAAGAGTCTCACAGACTTTTCTGCCTGGGCTGGCTTTGAATCGCGATCCTCAGATCTCAGACTCCTGAGTAGCTAGAATTACAGGCCTGAGCCAAAGATGCCTGACAGAGTATACTTTTTCTAGGCTACTAATGTGATATTGAAATTCTAACTCACTGACCTACAATTTGACTATTTCTATTTCTACTCTGTTACCCACAGTGTAACCATATTCCCCATCATCACAGTATAAAGAAAAATGATATGAGGTCTGGATTCCACAGAAAACAGATGGTAAGTAGCTTTTGTTCATTTGAAGTAATTTTTTTTTGTTTTTATCAATCAAGTGGAAGATCCTGATTTCAAGCTTTAGCACTGCCCAAAATAGATGAATGAATGAAAATGTAATTTGAAAACTGAGCCTTTCAAGGTAACTACAACTGAAAAAAAGCAATTTCAAAAAGTATTAGTATATATAACAACTCGTATCTTATTGCATAGGTTGCTAATTTTATTAAAGTAAATTTATCTTGGTTAAGAATTTTCAAAATTAGTACATCTTCAAAGTGAACAAACTATTAAACACAGCAAAACAACGAAGAGTAGCCACACACAAAAGGTTCACATATAGTTCCACTTATACATAATATCCAGAATAAGCATACCATAGATATAACAGATAAGTTATATCTATAAGTGAGTCAGGAGGGAAGGGAAACAACTGCTTAATGGCTAGGGGGTTTCCTTTAAAATGATGGAAATTATTTGCAACTAGACAAAAACAATGGTTATATAATATTTATACTAATTGCAACTAATTGTTCACATTAGTTAATTTTGCAATCATGCATGGTGGAAAGTCACCTGTAACTCCAATACCTATGAGCTGTAATAGGATGATCATGAATTTGAGGCTGATCTTCAAAAGAAAAACCAAAATAAGCTGGGGATTCATGTCTGAAATTCTAGCCACTCAGAAAACAGAATATTAGAAATATTAGGGTTTGAGGTCAGCCTGGGAAAAAAAGTTCATGAACCACCATCAATACCAATTGCTGGAGATGATGACACATGATGCTATCCACCTATGCAGGAGGCTGAGATCAGGAAGATCATGATTACAGGCAAGCCCAGTCAAAAAAACTTCATAAGACCCTATCTCAACAGAAAAAAACCTAAGCATGATGAACCATGCTTTTCATGCCAGCTACACCAGGAAACACAGGAGGATCATGGATGCAAGTCCATGCCACTAAAACAAAATTTAGACCCTATCAAATAACCCGAACAAACGTCTAGAAGTGTAGCTTACATGGCAGAGCACAGGCCTAGCAAGTGCAAAGCCCTGAGTTCCAACCCTAGTATCACCAAAATAAATAAATAAATAAATGTTAACTTTGTTATATAAAATTTTCACCTCAATAACAAAGTAAAAATTACTATACAGTATATGACTCGAAATGTTAATACAATTAGAAATATACTGGAGATTATTTGATTCATAATCTTTTAAAAGTTTCAAAATAGGTTCAGTTAAAATACTGAATTTTAATTTCCTTTAACAATGGTCTCTTACAAACTACTTTAACTAGAAAAATAAAACAAATCTGAGCATCAGTCACTCACATCTATAATCCTAACTACTCAGAAAGCTGAGATCTAGAAGATTTTGGTTCAAAGCTAGCCTGGGCAGAAAAGGGTGAGAGATTCCATGTCTAAAATAGTCAAAAAGCTGGATTGGAGGCCTAACTTAAATGGTAGAGCTCTAGCCACTTGAGGCCCTGACTTCAAACTCTGGCACAACAAAAGAAGAAAATAAGAGCCACTCTAGTGTATAATACTTGAGAGGAAAAAAAACGAGGCACTAGAAATCATGTTTTGGGGCTGAATGCCAATCATGTTTTTGGCTCAGGTGGTACAGCAATAGCTCCAAGAAAGAAAGTCAAGTGAGAACATGTGGCTCTGAATTTAAGTAAGCACAAGAAAAAAAATGTAACCTAACAGAGTAAACCTTGGACATTTTATATTTTAGATTACTAAATAATATAAAATTAAAGCTGTTTCTTCTTACCTGCTTCATTGCTGTTTCACCTATTTTGTCAGAATGTTTTCGAATGCTTTCCAAAAAATCTTTAAGGTCAGACATGGAGATTTCTTTAATATCTTCACGGAGTTTAGGGAGGTTATCTATCATCAGCTGGCAGAAGCGATACTGACTAACGCGAGGAAAGTACACATTCTCTAATTGCTCCATAGTTTTTAGGGCAGAATAATACCTGTGAGAAGTTAAAAAGAAAACTCTAAAAGAAGTTCTTATCACATTAATTTTACAAATAAATATAAATACTCTAACAATCCTATCAAAATGGAGCCACAGAAGCTGGAGGCAGAGCTCAGTGGCAGTATTTGACTGGGATATACCAGGCCCTGGGTCTGATTCTCTAGAACTGAAGAAAACAAAATGGGAATAATTATAGTAATAATCAAAATGATCAAAATTAACATTTATTTTAATTTACTAGAGTACAAACAAATTTGCAGGCTGAAAATGCATAGCTTATACTAACAAATTTCCTTTATTTAACTTCATCTAATTCTATAACATCAAATATTATCACAGCATCTTAAATGTATTGTGTAATTTATGAGTTATATATAATGTTTTGTTATTTAACATATAATTTCATATTATTTCTCCTACCACAGTATTGACTCACATACTATCACATCAAAGAAGTGGTTAGCACAGATTTAATTCTCCATTATAGCATATGTTACAAATAAAATATATGATAGAAGAGCTCAACAGGCAGGGACAAATGTAACTGTACCATGGTTTCCTAGAAAACATGAAATATGATACCATTATTGGAAGATAGTAATCAAACATTCATATTATAATCCATATAGCAGCTGCTAAAAAACTAGAGATACAACTAATAAGTAGATTAAAAAATGAAACATTAAACCCTTCAAAACAGAAAGGAAGAATATAAAAACTAAGTAGTGCTAAGCACTATAGCTCATACCTATAATCCTAACTTCCCAATTCCAGGCCAGCCCAAGCAAAAAGTGCACAAGACCTCATTTTCACCAATAAAACACAGGTGTGGTGGTATGTACCTGTCATCCCAGCTATCAGGATCACGAGAATTATCAAGGTGGTGAAGCACAAGATCAAGGTTCTGCAGCAGCAGATTATTTAGAAGAGAGAGGGCCAACTACCTCCAGTAGTTAACTGAGGAATAGCAAGACTGAGACCAGTCTGAGGCTAAAGTGGCCAAGTGGCCTCTTTGAACCATAGGATCCAGTTGGTTGAAGATGAGCTGGACAATGCTCAAGAGAGCCTGGCCACTGCCCTGTAAAGGGTGAGGGATGTGGAAAAGCTGCTGATAAGTAACAAATATGAAGGTTGAGGAAAACAGTCCTACAAGAGGAAGAAAAGACGAATTCCAGGAATTCCAGCTTAAAGAAGTTAAGCCTATTGTAGAAGAGGCACATAAGAAGTATGAAGAAGTAGCATACAAGTTAGTGGTTACTGAAGGAGACTTGGAACCCACCAAGGAATAAGCTAAGTTGACATAGTCCCAATGCTAAGGGACAGATAAGATCAGACTGATGAACCAGAACTTGAAGTGTGTGAGTGCTGCTGAAGAAAAGTTCTCTCGGGGCTGGGAAGTTGGCTCAGTGGTAGAGAGCTTGCCTTGCATGCCTGAGGCCCTGGGTTCCATTCCTCAGCACCACATAAGCAAAAAGAAAAAAGCCGGAAATGGCACTGTGGCTCAAGTGGTAGAGCGCTAGCCTTGAGCTGAAGAGCTGAGGGGCAGTGCCCAGGCCCAGAGTTCAGGCCCCACGACCGGATATTCCCCCCCCCAAAAGAAAAGAAGACAAACATGAGAAAGACATAAAGATTCTTACTGATAAACTCAAGGAGGCAGACATATACTGCATTTGTTAAGAGAACAGTAGCCAAATTGAAAAAGACAATTGACTTGGAAGATAAACTAAAATGCACAAAAGAGGAACATCTCTATACACAAAAGCTGCTGGACCAAACCCCTGCAATGTCCCTCTGCATCTTCCCACAAGATGCTGCTGCTCTTCCTTCTCACCCCAACTCTGCCTGTATCTCACCCAGAGAAATAATCAGCTACCAGGAAGCAGATGCAAGAATCATGGTTCAGCCGGGCATCAGTGGCTCACGCCTGTAATCCTAGGTACTCAGGAGGCTGAGATCTGAGGATCGCAGTTCAAAGCCAGCCCGGGCAGGAAAGTCTGTGAAACTCTTATCTCCAATAAACCACCAGAAAACCAGAAGTGGCACTGTAGCTCAAGTGGTAGAATGCTAGCCTTGAGCTGAAGAGGTGAAGGACAGCGCCCAGGCCCAGAGTTCAAGCCCTACCACCAACAACAAAAAAAAAAAGAATCATGGTTCAAGGCCAGTAAAGATGAAAAAAGCTATCAAAACCATATTTCAAAAAACAAACTTAGTGGGAGGCAGAGATAGGAGAACTGCATTCTGAGGCAGCCCCCAGGCAAAAGCACTACAGATATGGCTCAAGAGAGAGTGCTTGCCTAGCAAATAGATGGCCCAGAGCAATAATAGTAACAACAGCATGGTTTAATTTAACCATTTTGCTATTATTATTATTATTATTATTATTATTATACTGTTGGCAGCAACCATTTATAAAACATGCCAAAAAATTCCACAACTATAAACAGCCATCTCTCTCATTTTTAGAAGGTAAGTTTTCAGCCTAATGCATACTGCCCTCCAGAGGAAGAAAACAGGTATGGACCTGTCTTTCTGAGACAACTAGAGCCAGAAAAAGCATCCACCATGAGAAACCTCACCTGCTCTGTACCATGTACCAGCTGAATCAGAAAGGCAAAGGTTACCCCCCCACACCCCCACCCAAAGAAAGAAAGGAAAGAAGGGAGGGAGAGAGGGAAGGAAGGAAGGAAGGAAGGAGTTGTTTTTTAAGGCTTTCAGCTTTAATATATCTTTAGAATTTATTTAAACGTTCCTCATTAGAAGTAACCAAATTACAATGGTGAGACTTCTGTTTTGTTTTGTTTTTCTGGTCAGGGCTAGTATCAAACCTAAGATCTCATGCATATTAGACAAGTGTTCTACCACTAAGCCCCAGGCCTCGTGCCAAATCAATCATTCCTGATTCTTCTCAACCACTCACAGAATGGATCATGTGCCCTTAATGCTGAGGTGACCAGTTAACTGCTCTCCTGCCTCCTTGAAAGACAGAAGAAAATTATGTTTTGCCATTGATGTAGCCATGTGAAACATTTTCCAGAGCCGGGCACCAGTGGTTCATACCTGTAATCCTAGCTATTCAGGAGGCTGAGAATCTGAAGATCACAGTTCAAAGCCAGCTGTGGCAGAAAAGTCCATGAGACTTATCTCCAATAAACTACTCAGAAAAAACCAACAGTAGCACTGCAGCTCAAGCTGTATACAGCTATCCTTGAGCACAAAGAGGCTCAGGGACAACACCCAGCCCCTAAGTTCAAGCCCCAGGACCAACAACAACAAAAAAAAAGTAAAGAAGAGAAGAGAAAAGAAGAGAAGAGAAGGGAGAGAAGAAGAGAGGAGGGAAAGGGAGGGGAAGGAAAAGACAAGACAAGATAAAAAGAATATAAAAATCAACCAGCGAGCTGGGTACCAGTGGCTCACACCTGAGCAGAGATCTGGGGATCTCTGCTCAAAGCCAGCCCCCGCAGGAAAATTGGCAAGACTCTTATCTTCAATTAACCACCAGAAAACCGGAAATGGTATTATGGCTCAAGTAGTAGAGCTCTAGCCTTGAGCTGAAGAGCTCAAGGACAGCTCCTAGGTCCAGAGTTCAAGCCCCATGACTGAAAAAAAACTTATCAGCCAGTGGGTTAATTCTGGCTGTGGGAGGCTGAGTGCTGAGGATCATGGTTCCAAGCCAGCCTTGGCAGCAAAGTCCAGGAGACTCTTATCTCCAATTAACTATCCAAAAAGCCAGAAGTGGAGCTCTAGTTCAGGTGGCAGAGTACTAGCCTTGAACAAAAAAGTTCAGGGAGAGCTCCTGGTACCCTAAGTTCAAGCCTCAGGACCAGCACACACACACACACACACACACACACACACACACACACACACACACACACACACACAAAGACTAAGAAATGAAAAGAATATAAAAACTATAAATGCATATGCATCAAATAATAGCACTTCAAAATACATAAAGCACAACTGAAAGAGCTAAGGGAAAACAGATAAACCTATAATAGTAGCTGAAAATTTAACACCACTTTTGTACAGCTAACATACATCATTAGTACAAATGGCATTAAAAAAATTCCAAGGATACATAAAGACTGAATTACACCAACAAACAAAACCTAATTGATAGTTATAGAACACTAAATACAGTATCTTCAACTACACATGAAATATTCACTAAAATAGATCATAAACTGAGCTGCTAAAAAAGTCTTTACAAATGCTTAAAAATTGAAATTTGCACAGAGTATGTTCATTGGCCCTTTTAGGGTCACAATCTAGAAATCAGTGATAAACATATTAATATATATTAATATATATAGAGCTGGGATATGGCATAAGTGGTGGAACATCTACCTAAAGAATGTAAGAACCGGGCTGGGAAGGTGGCTCAGTGCTAGAGTGCTTGTCTTGCATGCATGAGGCCCTGAGTTTGATTCCTCAGCACCACATAAGCAAAAAGAAAAAAAAAAGCCGGAAGTGATGTTGTGGCTCAAGTGGTAGAGCGCTAGCCTTGAGCTGAAGAGCTGAGGGACAGCACCCAGGCCCTGAGTTCAGGCCCCACGACCGGATCAAAAAAAAAAAAGAATGTAAGAACCTGAGTTTTAAATCCAAGTATAGGGGAAAAAAGTTATTACAATATCTAGAAAATTTCTTTAATACCCTAAGAGCTTTAAAAGATTACAAGAAAAACTAGAAAATATTTTTAACTTAAAAGCAATGAAAGCATATTAAAAATGTGTGATTATAAAAAAAAAAGTGTGAGGGCTCGGAAAGTGGCTCAGTGGTAGAGTGCTTGCTTTGCATGCATGAGGCCCTGGGTTCAATTCCTCAGCACCACATAAGCAGAAAAAGCCGGGAGTGCCACTGTGGCTCAAGTGGTAGAGCACTAGCCTTGAGCTGAAGAGCTGAGGGACAGCGCCCAGGCCCAGAGTTCAGGCCCATGACTGACAAAAAAAAAAAAAGTGTAAGCCAGGTACCAGTGGCTCATGCCTGTAATCCTAGCTACTCAGGAGATTGAGATCTGAGGATCGTGGTTCAAAGCCAGCCCAGGAAAGAAACTCTGTGTGACTCATCTCCAATAAACCACTAGAAAACCGGAAGTGGCACTGTGGTTCAAGCGGTAGAGAGCTCGCCTTGAGCTGAAGAGTGCAGGGATAGTGCCCAAGCCCAGAGTTCAAGCCCCATGACCGACAAAAAAAAAAAAAAAGTGTGATCAGGTGTGGTATCAAAGAACTCTAACTGCAGCTACCAGAAAGCAGAAGAATAAGGATTTAATGCTGATAGCCAGGCTGGGCAATATATATTAAGATGTTGTCTCAAAATACTTTTTTATTTTCCTTTTTTTATTGTTATTATATATGTACGGGTTACAGTTACATAAGTCAGGTAAAGAGTACTTCTTTTTGTGGACAATATCACCTCTTCCCTTGCTTTCTCCCAGTTTTTCCCTCTTAAAACTTTGTTTTGTTTTTTAGTTGTGGGGCTTGAACTCAGGGCCTGGGCATTATGCCTGAACTCTTTTGCTCAAGGCTAGCACTCTACCACTTTGAGCCACAGCTTACTTCTGGTTTGTGAGCAATTAATTGTGGATAAACATCTCCCAGGGACTTTTCTCAGACCTCAGCCTCCTGAGTAGCTAGGATCACAGGTGTAAGCCATCAGTGCCTGGTCAAAATACTTTTTTAAATTATGAAATGTAACTACACAATGCTCCAAGCAAAATTTATATCAATAGAAATTTGTAGAGTTCAAAGCACAGGTTAAAAGATAATTTCCAAGTTAAAAGGTATCCCTACAACAAATGGAAGTGAACAGACCTACACAAAAACATACCATAAGAAATACAGGGCTGGGAATGTGGCTTAATGGTAGAATGCTTGTCTAGCATACATGAAGCCCTGGGTTCAGTTCCTCAGTACCACATAAACAGAAAAAGCCAGAAGTGGCACCATGGCTCAAGTGGTAGGGTGCTAACCTTGAGCAAAAAAAGCTCAGGAACAGCGCACAGGCCTTGAGTTCAATCCCCAGGACTGGCAAAAAAACAAAAACAAAAATAAACAAACAATAAAAAACAGAACACAGAAAACAATGAGAAGGTTCTAAAGAGAAAAAAGTTAGATCACAAAGAATAAAAAATTGAAATGCCTCAAACTTAGCACTGGAGATTGAGAGCATGACAGATTAAAGGAAGGAGGGAGGAAAGGGGGCAGCAAGAGGAAGAGAGGGGGAAAAAAAGACAGCAAAGGAAATAGAGTAAAAAAGGTAAAGCAATAATAGAAGTTATAAATAATCAGTTGAAAGGTAAATGATTTTGCTCCTATAAAGAAAACTAGTAAATAGGAATTAGAGGAGCTAAGGCCTGTTTATTTGCAACAAACACATGAAACTATTTGAGTCTTTAAATAAAATATAAACATCTATAACAAGGATCTTTTGGTTTATACTTGTGCAAAATAAATAAGAGAAAGAGGGATGGAAGGAGGGCAGGAAGGAAGGAAAGAAATAAAGGAAGGAAGGAAAAGAGGGAGGAAGAGAAGAAGGGAGGGAAGGAAGGTGGGAAGACAAGACACTGGGTTTATTAATAAAAGAAAAACCCGGGCCTAGGCACCAGTAGCTCAAACCTGTAACCACTCAAAAGGTTAAATCTAGAGGACAGTAGTTGAAAGCCAGCCCAGGCAAAAAGTTCATAAGACTCCATCTACAAATTACCAGCAAAAAGCCAGACTGGAGATGTAGTTCAAGTGGTAGACTGTCATCCAATCAAGCAAGTCAAGCAAGCTCAAGATTCTAAGTTCAAACCCCAGTAGATACGTAGATAGATGGATGGATAGGTAAATGATAGAACATTCCACTTCTTAGTGCCAACTGGTAAAGTCTAAAGAAATTCAATGTGTAACAGTATAGACATCAGGGCATACACAAATCTCTTGACAATAAATTTGTCTGTAAGTGTTGTAATAATTAAGTAGCTATGAATAAACCAAGAAAAAAATCATTACTTCCCTAGTTGAAATGTTCCTTATTTATTTTGGCTTTTTAGTATTATTTTATTCATTTGTATTAAAAAAACCTGAATATAAACTACTCTAGCCTAGACTGACAAAATAGAACTACCTATATTCTGTTTCTACTTCACATTATACACTTAGCCTTAACTATATGTTGGTAAGTTAACAAAAAATTGCTCTTTGGTTGTCTATTTCAATTTTTGATGTATTTACAAAAAAACAAGGATTCATAAACAAATGACTGTTGTTTTCTTTATTAATGATCCTGATAAGTCAATTTCATGAACAAAGGTTACTGTGAGGCAGAAAGCAAAATTCACATGATTCCCTTTAATAGTAAGTTTATCTGTGCTTTTAATTATAAAAAAAACTATATATCTAAAACAAGAAGAAAGAAACCAACTCACCTTTTTGTACTCATCTGTTCTTTTAGCTTACTGTACATTTCCAGCACTGTATTTAAAAAATATAACATTTTAACTTTAAAAACAAAAAGAGCATTTTGAGAAATTGCAAGTTAAAGCAGACAAAACTATACTGCAAATTCTTTAGTTTTTCTCTATCCTTCGAGTTGGCCTGATATGTTCAAACAAACTGTTAAATGCTTCAATAAATTAAAATATTTTTCTTTCCAGATTAATATTTATAATATATTATATATAGTTATATAATATGCTGATCCTAGTCAGAAATTAACTGTGCTATTCAGAATTCATTATTTCTTCCCAGAAGTGGAAATAGAAGTTGGACTTAGTTATTTGAGAGGGAAAACTGAGGGACAGTAAGATTTATTGGTTTTGATGTAACATAGCAAAGAAAATAATACAACTATCTTATAAATAATTAGACAGGAATACTTAGACCACATCTACAAAGCAAAACTTACCAAATGCTAACAGTATATAACAAAGGTAGAAATAAACCAACAAAACATTTTTGTTCATCTCATCCTTCCTACAATCCCTGAAATGCATTTGTTCAATAAAATTGTCATTAACTTCAGCAAAATAATATGCTGTCACCATAAAAGCCATGAGGGCTGGACGCTGGTGGCTAACACCTATAATCATTGCTACTTAGGAGGCTGAGATCTGAGGATGATGGCTTGAAGCCAGCCTGGGCAGGAAACTCAGTGAGACTCTATTTCTATCAAAAACAAAAAAGCCAGAAGTGGCGCTGTGGCTCAAGTGGCAGAGCACTTGCCTTGAACAAAAGAAGCAAAAGAAAGGACAGTGCCCAGGTCCAGAGTTCAAGCCCTAGTACCACCCCCGGGGGGGGGAGGGGGAAGGGGAGAAGGTGGGGGGGAAGAGCCATAAGCCTTTTAACCTTAGCAGAATTTCAAAAACGTAAAATTTGTAAGTAAATCCTTCCTGGTTCATGAAATTTTCATAGATCTGAAGGATAGACTAAACTTTTTTTCCAGATTTTCTAGTTATATGGCTACCACTCCAAGTTTGCAAAGGTATTTTTTACTTGTCTAAAAGCTGTAAGACCTTCACTGGTGGCTTAGTGAACCAGCTGTAACTCTATGGCATCACAAGACCCTCTGCATACCTCTATCACATTGTGATATTTCTCTCAAACAAAAGCATTAGAGTGAACATAGAACCTGGGACAGATCCTGCTGCTAACAGCATAATGTTCTTTGAACTCTTCTGTTTTAGCTCAATAATTCTGTAAACTTCCATTAACTTCATTAATTCCACATTATTTCTACATAAAAATTATGCTTTCCTCAAAACAGCAAGTAAACTTAATATCCCAAGAAAAGGTACTATTTGTTCTTTTAATTCTTAATATCCTATTATATTCCTCCAAATTCAAGAAGGAATTGATTCTATAATTAGTGACAAACTTGTCTTGATTCACATTATAACTTCAAAAGCTGTATCGTTTTTCACCTTTATGATTCTAATAGCTATCATAATGTTTGACACACAAAAAACATAATGAATAGCTAATTAGATGGAAGGATTAATGGAAGACAGTAGGTAGTTCTGGATGAGGCAATGAAGACCACAATATTTACATGAACTCGAGTCGCTGTCCAGCCATCAAGGCAAAGACAGAAGCAGTAACACAAACTTAACATCTACTACCTTTTATTTCTCTATTTCAAATAGCCCAGTAAGAGGCTATTAACCTGCATTCAGCTCTTTGTCATTCCCTCATACTCAACTTGTAGGCTTAATATCCAGAATAGTAAAGTACAAAGCACTCAAGCTGTCTACTGGATATTACAATGCATCTGATATTATCAGAGGTATCAGCCATTATCATAAAGAAATAAGTTTCTCAACCTTAAAACATAATGAGCAAGTGCTTTACTTACTCAAAGATAATTTATCAGTAGCCCAGGTCTATCACAGATAAACTGAATAGACTTTCATTGATTCAAAAAAAGCTATTCCCTAACAATGCTCGAGAGAAATGTACTCATTACCTTACTCGTGTAACTGCAACCTCTCTGTACAGCATCTTTACAATAACATAAAATGAAATAATTTTTTAAAAGCTATTCTTATACATGAGACAAGAACAATACAATTGTCTTAGCCATGAAAAATTCTGATAGTTTTAATAATATGATTTGTATTTTACCAATGCTAAATTTTTGTCATGTAAGTATTATACAAAATATTCAGCTTTCCAGATTAGGTTCCATGGGCCAGAAATTAATTAGTTTACAATATTAAGGGAAAAATGACATATACCTGATTCCATCTGAACAGGATACATTCAACTTAAAGTATATTAAATCCAGGTAAAAAGAAACTACTAGTTTCTTCAGTATTTATGTGTTGTCCAGTAATATCTGAGCCCTAACAGAGAGACCAGAAACTAAGTCTTTTCAAAAGACTTAGTTTTCTGGGAGGAAAAGGCAAAGACTTATCACTTTTGATGTTTTCTTACCTTATCAGCAAAATGACATTGTGAGCAAATCAAAACCAACTTGCTAAGTGACAAACAGAAAACAATGGAAAACTAGAGGTAGAAAAAATTAGGCAAATTAGGCAAAGGTGAGAAAATATAATCAAAAGACACTCTCCCTATAGGAAAGCATTCTGAGGGGGGAAAATGGAGGTAGGGGAAACAGGCCAGCAGGTGAAGGACAGATGGAAAATTAGGCAGAGAGGAAATGGAAACAGAAGCTGATCTGGGAAACTGATGTGACAGATAATCAAATAGGGGTTCTGTAAAATAAACTCAGAGATTCAGGGAAGAGAACAAGAGGAAAGGTAATTATGGGCTTTGCTGGAAAACAATCACTATCTGTAACTCCCATAATGAAAAATATGGCATTATTACATTATAATTTTACCAAGCTAGACATCAATCACATGATAGATAAGTTTAACTCACCTGGCAGGCATAACTGCAATTTTTCTACAACAGTTGTAATATTCCTCTGCTGAATTCTACATCGAATAATATCTTCTGTTTGGACTATTACCTTAAGAAAGAAAGCCATGTTCATAATTTTACATAAACAATTTAAATAGCATATATATATAGATATATATTGAGTGCACAAATTATCATTTCCTTACCTCTTTTCCAGCATCTTGAAATCTTCGGTTGGTATCAGTAACTTGCACCTTAAAAATAATTTCACCTTAGTTAGACAAACATGCATAAAACTGCCCTGATGTAACTGCTCACCCTTGTAATCAGATCATACTTCATGAGAAACTTGGAACAAAGAAATGCAAATTCAAATTAACTCTACAGCTTGAACTTGAACTTTTGATTGAAAAGGGCTTTTGTTAACTTCAATTACTTATGACAGTTCTTTTTAACAGATTCTGTGGCAAACTTCTCAAATTTACTCAGGATTTTTGAACTTTACTTGCTTCTCTAAGTCTGTCAAACAATTCAAATCACTGACCCAATTGACCACTGGTCCCTTTTTGATAACTTCAATGAGGTCTATGTGCCATTTATTGTCTGTAGGAAATGGTGATTGCATTTTATGGTAATTAAACATTTATACTTTGCTGAATGCAAACACTGGGTGGTTGATGAACATCAAACACGAAAATCTCAATCCACAGCAACATTTTGATGCTGCAGGTGCAGACAAAGCTCAACCTCAAATTTTCCCACATACTAAGTGACTCATTAGGTCATCACAGTAAGGAAGCACATTCTGGTTTATTAAAAATCTCATTAATTTCTGAACAAAGATGCTCAGTGACCTCATTGATGCTGTATTTGGTCTCTTGTTATCTGAATATCCTTTATATAATGGTTTTCTAATCATAACATTAGAATTCTGTCTGCTAAGCACTTTAAATGTGAAGAAAGATAAATAGGACAATTCTTACAATTATGTATTTTATATGTGAAGTGAACAAATCTACATCTCAAAAAATAAAGCTTTCTCTGCATGGCAGAAAAGGTAGACTCTCTACAAGAAAATTCTGCATTACTGTAAAACCCACAAATTTTCAATATAATTAAACAGTTTTGAGAATAAAATCATTTGTAGGAAGTTTTTTTAACATTTTAGAAGAGTTTTTTATCAATCAATATTGTATTGTCAATTAGAAATTGTTAAAACTGCAAATATGGACTTTCATTGTATGTCTTCCATGCAGAGAAAGAAATTCTATTAATACATGCATTACTTGATGTAGAAAAAAATTACTCCTGACACTAGCACGATAACTTTGTTAATACAGCATAAAGAGCATTCTCAAATACATATACTAATTTACTTCCTGAAAGCTCATTCAATAATAGCATATGGGGCTGGGAAGGTGGCTCAATGGTAGAGTGCTGCTTCCTCAGCAGCACATAAACAGAAAAAGCCAGAAGTGGCACTGTGGCTCAAGTAGAAGAGTGCTAGCCTTGAGCAGAAGAGCTCAGGGACAGTGCCCAGGCCCAGAGTTCAAGCCCCACAACTGACCAAAAAAAAAAAAAAAAAAGACATATATGTACTATAATAGTTGTGTAGTTTAGTGAGAATAGAGACAGAATTTAATACATTTCCTACCTTCAGTTTTTCTGCATCAGTCCTTACTTTAAGGAGTTCTGTAATAGCATCTACAAAACCCTGATGATGAAAATTGCACATCTTTTCAATTTCCTTGTCATGGTTACGGATACAAGCATCTAACTTTTCCATAAACTTCTTGTGTGCATTTGGCTGGTCATCATACACGGATCTGTATGTATATAAAAAAACTAAAATTAACTTTTCCATTCATCAAAAGTTTTTTCTTTATTAAGCTCAATGTATCTAGCAACTCGATCTAACCTCTGAATAAATGGGCTGGGTAATATTACTAAGTGGAGGAATAATTTTAAAATAAATTTAAAAGAAATAACTATTTTTAAACATGTTAATATTTTAAAAGAAGGCAGGTGAAGACTTATGTAACTATAACTCCTCTGTACATCACCTTTACAATTAAAAAAATGTACTTATTACCTGAGTTATGTAACTGAAACTCCACTGTACAACACCTTTTAATAACAATTTTAAAAAATAAAAAAGAAGTCAGGTGAAGTGACTCATGCCTGTAATCCTAGCTGCTCAGGAGGCAGAGATCCAGACATAGGGAAGATTACAGTTTGAAGATAACTAAAGCCAAAATTTCAAATGACTCTATCTTAATCAATAAAAACTAGGTGCAGTAGTACACATTTGTCTTCTGAGATAAAGAGTAAATAGGAGAATCATGTCCTAGAACAGTCTTGGCTATGAATGAGAGCTTTTATTTGAAAAGTAACTAAAGCAAAATGGGCTGGGGTATGGCTCAAGTCTTAGAAGATCTACTTAGCAATAGCGAGCACAATGCCCTGAGTTCAAACCCAGGTACTGCCAAACAATTAATAAAACACCTTTTTTCTAAAAACAGGAATACTAACTACCAAATCATACTGCAATTGATACAGTGCTGTTTTTCTGAGCAACTCTTCAAATTTATTGGTTAAAGCCTATTGAATAGAATGTCCAAATGGTTAGAAAGTGTTATATACAGTGTATTTTTAGTGATGTAACTTAAAGATTAACATAATGAAATACTCTTTTTACCGGGAGATCTGATTTTTGTAAAGAGTAAAAATACATCTATATTATGATTACAAACAGAATTGTTAATGTTAACAGTGCATATTAGCTACTGTGAAAAACATTTCTATATTTTTTTAAAGGAAGGGCTTGTTGCTTCCCAGCTGTTTCCCAAAAGCAAAGGAAGTTTTTAAGTCTTTTCTGTTTCATGTTATTTGTTTATATTATACTTAATAATGGGTGAATTAAAACTAAAAACTAAAAGCATAAGTAGAATGGCATATCAGAAATGTTTTTATGTTTTACCTTACACTTGAACAACTATAAAAAAACAACAACAAAAAGTAGACAGAAGCCCTCTACATTTATTACTAGCTATCTACAAATAAAGATCTAAGGCTCAAGAAGTGAAAACTAAATCTTTAACATACTAAGACTTAAAAACAATCAATGTGTGAATAAATAATTACAGAATGAAGAAACTCATGATTTCTAATAGTATTTACTATGAATCAGAACAATTATTAACTATATACTAACTCTTTAATCCTCACCACATGCCCAAAAAGTATTGCTTTTATCCTTGACTTATGACAAATTATAATTATGTTAATGCTATATATTCCATACTTTGAGAGTGACAACTGCAATATGAAGTTTGGCTTTAGAGCTCATATTCCCAAATACAAAGCTACCATCGTGTTCTCCATGGCATACATTTACTTACTGTATCTTAGGACCAACTATTTCTACATAAAGAATACCTGTTCCCATCCCTATTCACTATGCAATAAAGGACAAACCTTGTCCCTGACTCCTGGAAGTTAAGTCTTTGGATTGTCCTGCCTAGGAAATGTCTTTACTTAACAGTCCATTTATTGGTGAGGTTGGGTCTTTCGGCTTTTGAGGAGTTGAAAACTTAAAACCAGCATGGTTGGTAGTTAGCCATGTCTACATGAACAATTAGTCTTAGATATATGACCACACTACCCTAACAAAAACCCTGGACTTCAAGGCTTGAATGATCATCTCTAAATGAAGATTCTAAGTGCTGACAAACTTCACTGCTGAGAAAGGTACTCCCCACATCATGTCACTGGGAAAAGACATCTAAAAGCTCACATGGGAAACTCTCCTACCACTCTGCCTTATGTGTTTTTTCCATTAATAATTTTTTTGTTCTTATTTTGGCAGTACTGAGGTTTGTTAACTTTAATCTGTATTCTTCTGCTATAACTGTGAATAAAATAGCTTTCTCATATTCTAAATCACTCTCCCAAGTTTTTTAACCTGAGGGAAGTTCTGGGGACTTTTCAAAATATACCTCTATATCTGTTGTTCATTGTTTGAGGTTCAGTGCAAGTTTCATTTTTTTCATAGAACTTTATCAATCAATTCTATGCCAAATACTCTTTTAATCTGAAGAATAGGCAATCTTAGAGTCCTTTATTCTCACGTCATCATCTATTGTTTTGTAATTTAAATGTTTCATGAATATTAGATGATTTTTTTTTGACCCGGTCGTGGGCCTGAACTCTGGGCCTGGGCGCTGCCCCTCAGCTCTTCAGCTCAAGGCTAGTGCTCTACCACTTGAGCCACAGCACCACTTCTGGCTTTTTTTTTCTGCTTATGTGGTGCTGAGGAATTGAACCCAGGGCCTCATGCATGCAAGGCAAGTGCTCTACCACTGAGCCACCTTCCCAGCCCAATATTAGATATTTTATTTCCCCCCAATACCTTAAACTTCTTGAAGTCAACTTCCATGTCTTAGCTCAGTGAGTACTTAATAGAACACTGAAGACAGCAAAATAGAGCAGCAACCCAGCTCCAATTCTTTAGGAGCTAGAATGAGACTCCGACCTTTGATGTCTTCTCCTCTAGATACTACTCTTTCTCTCAATTTGCTTGTAAGTATCAAAATCCACAAACATACTAAAAGTATTGAAGTATCATGCAAGTGCCAGAATCCAAAATTCATCTTATGATGAAATGTTGACCATAGTAAGGACTTAGGATACTCCTAGTGTGGGCCAAACATATCCATAATATCTGCTATCTGGGATGCAAGAACAGGAGGATTATGGTTCAAAGCTAGCCTGGGCAAAGCATGAGACCCTTATCAGAACTGGTAGAGTATTTGCCTAGCAAGTGTTAGATCCTAAGTCTAACTCTCAGTTCTGAGAGAAAGAGAAGGAAGAAAAAGGAAACAGGGAAGAGAGGGAAAGAAGGACCAAGAGAGAGAAGGAGGAAGAGAGGAAGAGAGGGAGGGAATAGGAGAGAAAGAGAGGAGGGAGCAGGGAGAGAGAAAAAGAAGGAGGAAGGGATAAAGGAGAATGGGAAAAGAGGGGGACTGGGAGAGATGGAGAGGAACCAGGAAGAAGAGGAAGGGAAAGAGGGAAAGGATGGAGGGAAAGGGGAGAGGGAAGAAAGGAGGGAAAGGAGGAAAGGAAGGAGGGAGGGAATGAAGAGAGAGGAGAAGGGGAAGAAGAAGAGGGAGGGAGAAAGGAGGGTTGGGGCTGGGAAAGTAGCTGTGGTAGAGTGCTTGCCTTGCATGCATGAGGCCCTGAGTTCGATTCCTTAGCACCACACAAACAGAAGATGGACATGGCCCTGTGGCTCAAGTGGCAGAGCACTAACCTTGAGCTGAAGAGCTAAGTAGCACTCAGGCCCAAAGTTCAGGCCCAATGACCAAACCAAAAAAGAGAGAGAGAGAGAGAGAGAGAAAAGGAGTTGAAAAGGGTTGATCATAGAACGCCCTCATTTTAATAATTGTAGCACAAATCTAAAAATCAAGTAAACACTCAAAATGGAACTAATCACTATATACAGTCAATTTAATCTACTTATAACAATGAAAAAATAAGTAGTCCAATAGTCACTGGTGGCTCACACCTGTCATCCTAGCTAATCAGGAGGCTGAAACCAAGATCTTTGTTCAAAACCAGCCAGGGCAGAAAAATCTGTTATACTACATTTCAAGTTAACCTGAAAAAACTAGTCTGGAGACATGGCCTAAATACCAGCCATGAGCAAAGAAAGCCAAGTTTGACTGTGAAGCCTGGAGTTCAAGCCCTAATCCATCATAAAAAAAATAAAATAATAATTAGATATTTAGTAATAAGGTGGACAATATGTAGATAACTGGCAGAAGGGAGGAAGGGAGGGGATACACACACACACACATATCAGATTATTGGAAAAGGGGAAGGCAAAAACAGTTTGACAGTTTACAAAGCTAAAATTATCAATCTTTGTTTCCTGTTAGGATCTATGTTTAATAACAGAGATGATTTAGAAAGATCATGTAGGGAGAAGGATATGCAGAAAATAGAGAAAATGTGCTGTTCTAGTAAATAATTCTCCATAGTGACTTAACTGGCCATAGAGCAATCATGACTTGCTTCTGGATTAATGATGATAAAACCATAAAAGTAACAATTTCAAACAATTCACTAAAAATTTACTATCTTCAGTACTTTACATGCATTATCACATTAAACATTACCTACAAATTTATGAAAGATTCTGTTAGCACTCCACTTTTCAAATGGAGTTTGGAGAACTGATTTAAATCAAAAGTCACATCAAAAACAGAGTCAAGATTTAACTCCAGGTTTACCTGACTAGAACACCACTGCTGTTGCTATTAAATTCTATAGACTTGTCAGTTTGCAATAGTGATAAACAACATGGAATGCAGGGAGAAAGTACCAGTACTGCACCCAAACGCATCACCTTTGAAGATCAACAATTGAGAATGACTCAACAAGGAATTCCTGATGTGCACTGCTGCATCCATCAGGTGAAATCAACCAATGGACAGAAAAAGGAGATGAGAACTGAGGCATTGCTAATTGTTAGGCAGCAATAAGTTAGAAACGCAACAAAATAAGGAAGAACTAAATTGTTAAAGAAAACAAATTTATCTGCCATCAATGAAGAACTCTTGAAACTTTTCCTTTTTGCCTTTCAATGATTATCATTATTCTTTGAAATTCTGATTTGCAAGACAGGAAAAAAAATTACTGTTCAGGGGCTACTCATTCTTTGAATTCTATGTTGATAAACAATAATATCCTATGTAATATATTAATGTACTAAATATATTACCATTCTAATTTTTTAGTAAAATATACTTTTAATGAAAATAATTATTTCTTCCAAAATGTCCCTCGGGATTTTACAATATGTATTAGAAAATCTAATTATGTTCCTATAAATATAACAGAACTGGCAAACTGAACATTAGAAAATTGGTTAATTTTCTATTACTACAATCACTAAGGTAGAACCTTACTACTCCAAATACACGTAATGACATCAATGTAGGAGAATTCAAAAAGTTTAGCACAATAAATCTTATTTCTTGCAAGATTTAATGATATATAACAAAATTTAATTTTTTACAAAAATTTTAAAAAGAAAAAACTTTAAAGCAAAGGTAGTTTATGCTTTACTGATTTATTTACATATTTACATATTTTAATTTCAGGAACTAGGAACATATGTGTTAAAATAGTAAAAATCACAGCTACAAAACCTTTAAGTACAAACAAAACTCATTTACATTATATCAAGTTTTACACACTTGAGCAAAGTGTTCAATATTATGTAATAATATTTGATCATCCAAAATGTCAGGCTCATGAAATTTAAAAAAGTAAATTTTCTTTCACAAATGCCTTTTCAATTGTGTATACAGGACTCCACCTAGTGGTAATAAAATATAAAAATAAGTACGTTAAAATTAAAAGGTTAAAATGGTTAAAGAAATTAATACTTTTATCATAAAATGTCTTAACTAAGTATCTGAGTCTACTTTTGACAAATGTTATTATATAAACAAAAAATAATTTAATAATCATAGTGTACAGTATTATTTTTGTAAGAAAAAATCTGATGAAAAATAAAGAACATTCAAGGTATTAAGAAAATAGGACTCTCACTATGGTATTATATTCATTTTTTTTCTTCAAAAAGTACATCATAGCTGGGTGATGGCTCATGCCTTAATCCTAGCTACTCAGGAGGCTCAGATCTGAGGATCGTAGTTCAAAGCCAGCCCCGGCAGGAAAGGCCATGAGACCCTTATCGCCAATAAACTACTCAGAAAACCAGAAATGGAACTGTAGCGCAAGTTGTAGAGTGCTAGCCTTGAGCTGAAGAGCTGAGAGACAGTGCCCAGGCCCTACAATCTAACAAAAACAAAAAACAAAGTACATCATAGAGTTGGGTACTGGGGGCTCACACCTGTAATCCTAGCTACTCAAGAGGCTGAAATGTGGAGATCTATGCACAGCCAGCACAAACAGTGAAGTCCAAGAGACTCTTATCTCCAATTAACTACCAAAAAGCCAGAGTTGGACCTGTGGCTCCAGTGGTTAGTATAGGCATGGGCAAAAAAGCTCAAGGACAGCACCAGGCCCTGAGTTAAAGGCCCAGTACTGGCACACACATGCATACACACATACATACATAGAGCACACCGTAATGTTTTTAGGCTATTTTCAGTATATTTTTCTTTTATTGTATCTTCATTATATAGGATTATGTTGTCACAACATCTGGGAAGAAATTAAATGCCTGAGTTCCCAGAGAAGTTTGTTTTTCGTTTATTGTTTTGTTTTGTCGGTCTCCTGGGGCTTGAATTCCAGGTCTGGGGACTGTCCCTGAGTTCTTTTGCTTAAGGCTAGCACTCTACCACTTTGAGCCACAGGGCCACCTCTGATTTTCTGGTGTCTCACAGACTTTCCTTCCCATCTGGCTTCAAACTGCAATCCTAAAATCTCAGCCTCCTGAGCAGCTAGGATTACAGGCATGAGCCACCATGCCCAGCAGAGAAGTTGTTTTTAATGAAAATAATGTGAATACTTTGAGGAAAGTTAACATAATCTCAAAGTGACTAATCCTCATTTCCTCCCATTTCTTATAATTTTTTGGAGTATTACAGTTCCTTTGCTAGACATCCTAGAATACCGTGTTCTCTAATAGGACCGATATGCTTGTTAAATAACCACAAAAGGACACAGTGTGTGATGCGAAAACATGTCTAGCATTTGGGTGCTAGCCATCGGTAAAATTCAGAGAAGAAGGTAATTACATGGCAAGAATATGATGAAATCCATTCAGTGAGATGCTGCTTTGCCCAGATACAAAAGTTTGTGCCTCCTGTATATCTCTGGAAACAAGGAATTTAGGTATCTTCTTTATTCCTACCTAAGTGATTACTTGTTCCTGGTAAAGTTTTGCATTATTGTGAATTGGGAGTTAACTCCAGTCTTTCAATCAAGTAGTCACTTCAATATCAATTTATCATCCACTTGAAACCCTGAAGCTACAAAGTCTTGCAATAACCATAACTTTTTCCCCCCACTGTCCTGGGCTTGAACTCAGGGCCTGGGCACTGTCTCTGAGCCTCTTTGTACTCAAGGCTAGCAGTTAACCACTTGAGCCATAAGGCC